AGCGCAAGTCGGAGCGCATTCCGTTCTCCCAGTGGACGTCCAGCTTCTGGGGCCTCCTCCAGAACCGCGTCATGTGGCAGATCTGCGCCTTCAAGTTCCTCAACCAGGTCTTTGGTGCGATTGGCGCGACGCCGGGTACCCCGATTGCGCGCACGTGGGCCAAGGTCGAGCCGCTCAACGAAGCGCTCTCGAGTGTGCTTGGCTCGCTCATCATGTCGGTGGTCATGGCCGTTGTCGGCAAGTGGGGTCTCCACTGGAACTGGCGCTGGATCATTGCCCTCGGCACGATCTCCATCGTCCTCATTGACGGCGCTGTCGTCTTCATCACGATCTGGAAAGTCTTCCGCAACCAGTGGTTCTACAACGGTGTCGCGCTGGCCGAGAACGTCCCGGCCGGTATCCGCTTCATTGTCGCTACGTACTGTGCCGTCGAGATTGCCGACGTCGGTAACGAGGGCGCCACCTACGGTCTGGTGACGACGGTCAACAACCTCGCGTCGCCATTTGCGTCGGTCCTCTACAAGCTCATCGACTCGTACTTTGATGTGTCCCAGACCGACATTGCCCGCGACGACAACGCCGTGCATTGGCAGGTGTCGTACTGCTTCTTCATCTCGTACGCCTCCAAGCTCGCGGCGCTCGGCTGGCTCTTCCTCCTCCCGCCCCAGAAGGCCGAGATGCAAGCCCTCAAGAAGCGCGGCGGCAAGAGCAAGCTCGCGGGTGGTATCTTGATCGCCGTCTTTGTCATCGCGCTCATCTTCTCGGTGTCGACCAACTTTATGTCGATTTACCCGTCGACCAAGTGCTACCGCATCGCTGGCGGGAAGGGCTACTTCGCCAACGGCACGTGCATCAAGTAAGCGCGCCTGTCCGTTCTGGACCCCATGTCTCGTGTCGTCTTGTTTTGTAAATAAAAACACGCTTTGTTTGCACCATTGAACTCGTCTTGTCAGCTTCTTTTGTTTTGATAGATCCAATCCGTTTGGTCAAAGCAAGGGTATATAAACCAATTGCTATTATTCCCTTGGGAGAAAGCAACTCGGCGACGAGAGCGGCGACGAGATACGTGAGTGCAATGTGGTTTTAGGTTGCCATCGAAACAATGCACCTTAGCGTGCCACGTCATCTCTTTTTCACCTTGGTACGACCTTACGACGCTGGTGAGAAATCTGGTTTTTTGGTGCAGTGATCATTTTGAATTGAAAGTAACGGGAGTTGAAGGCGCACAATACCTTGTGTGTTGGTCGCTTTGTGGCTGCGAGAGGCTGCGGGTGCGTATACCCCAACGCATAAGTGGAGGCCTCCACAAGGTCTCTCCAGCCTCCTTGCGAGCCGTGTGTGTACTCTCCGTGGTCATCGTCCAGTGCGCCATCTGTGTCCAGGTAGCTTGTCCAGATGCAGCACTCGCTTCTCAAACCAGCTTTGTGAGCAAGGCATCGTGTTGAGCTAGCCCGTCTTCTGGTTTTCAAGGCCCGACGCAGTCGCAACCTCACTTTTTGATTCGCCTCCACGATATGGACAACGATCAAGGAATTCCTCAATCAAGACCGAACTACTTGGGGGCAACAACCGTGTTGGTGTCCGCCATGCCAGTGGTGGGCGAGGCGGGTTAGCTATTTGACTGACGCTACCAATTTGGAGATGGCTTGAGCTCGTGTCGATTTTGGATCTTGTAACGTGTGCGATCTTGGAGCCGGTCTTCTAGTTCGTTCGGCCTTGCGCGGAAAACCTCTTCCACTTCTTGAAAGCCCGTGGGCCACATGGACCTCCAGGAGCGCGCCTCCTGCATCCAGTCGGCGGCCCTCGATCAGGACGGTGATGGCGTCTACACGGACGCCAAAGCTCGAGGACGGTGCTCTCGTCGCCTGTGGTGCGCTCGCTCATGTCGCGGGAAGCCCTCGCGCTCTTCTCACAGTACTTTGCCGTCGGCATTCTCTACGGCATGCCGCCCGGCATCAACTACGCATGTTCTAAATCTACCTTCGCATGGAGGGCTACCAGGCTGCCGACGATGTCCCCGTCACGCTCGGCTGGTCGTTCAAGGTCTTCTTCGGCATGCTCTTGGATTGCGTGCCTGCTTTTGGATACCGCCGCAGGCCGTGAATGATTCTCGGCTACACAATCGCGACCGTCTGTCCTCTGCATCATGACGTTCTCGACGTTCCCAGACCCGTTCTGCGACGCGCGCGAGATTCCTTGCCCCAAGAAGGTACCGACCGGTTTAAACGTGACGGCAGACAGGGTCCACCATAGTTGGTACATTACCACCCGACAGAGCTCTATCTCGATGCTTTGCCTCATGGTATCCCAGTGAGATTTGTCCTGAAGAAGCCGTGTTGAACAAGACGTGCGGATCGACCGCATGGATCGTGTGCAGTTGACAGAGCTCCGTCACGAGCTTATCGTAGAGCGGCACACAACTAGATCTACACGTCATCGCCACCACTCGCATCGGATGCGCTAGGCACGAGTCTTGCACCATCTTCGTACTAATGTGTGAAAATTTCTACCGCGGACCTTGAGATGGCGATGTATCGGTTACTACAGTAAATGTCCAACACTGCTCTCTACGTAGATTAGAGAGGTTAGAAGGCAGGGGCCGCGACAGTTTTTTCTCGCGCACATCGCTCGTACCGATACAAGGCAGCAGAAGAGACGTGGGCCATCAACCTTTCCAGTATCGGTGGCAGCCATCATCATCAGTGTTATAACTCGGGTGGCCCTCGTCCAACCCACTCGTTCTGTGAGGAATGTGCTTGCATCCTCGGATACGATGAGGTGCTGGGCTTTGGAGTGGGCCCTAGAAAACGTATACTTGCTGTTTGTATTGCTGATGTGGCGTCGAAAACGTATACTTGTTTTCTGTATGCACTTGTGGCGGGCCCCGTCCGCATGCACGGTGATCTGAGTTGTTGGCGCCATCTGATTCTTGCGGTTCAACAAGTGACCATCCACCGACGACGTTGGGCGACACTCCCGTAGCTTCCCGTGTGCCAACGCTTTGCTTCGTGAAGGTGTCTGCAAACGCTGAACATTCACCGGGACCAAGCAAATAAAATGGGTGTACCCAACATCGCCGCTCCAGGTCGCTGCTTTTGATGGACCCGAATCAAAGTTCTCGTAGCGGGTGCCCGATACATCCTCAAGTACCGGTGTAGCTTTCCTCGCCACACAACGACAGAGCGCGGGAAAAGGGAGAGAGGGCGTACCGTGGCGCTGACGAAGCCACGAACCCATCGCTGTTGGCCGGCGTGTAATCGGGCGATCCCAGCTGGCCTTTGCGACCACCGCACGAAACGTACGGCTGGCGTAGCACCCAATAGTCGAAATAAAAAGGGCGCGATGACGATAATCCCAGGCGCGACGTCAAACTCGATTCGCCTTCTCACTTTTTGATTTGCCTCCAAGACCAACAAGATGGCCACGACTCAGAAGGAGCTCGGTCAAATGGACCTCCAGGAGCGCGTCTCCTACATCCAGTCGGCGACCAAGGACAAGGATGTCGATGGCGACTACGCCGACGCCAAGACGCCCGGTGAGCTCGAGGACGGCGCACTCGTCGCCGGTGGTGCGCTTTCGCTCGTCTCCCGTGAGGCCCTCGCGCTCTTCTCGCAGTACTTTGCCATCGGCATTCTCTACGGCATGCTGCCCGGCATGCAGTACTCGGTCTTTCAGAACTACTTGAAGATGGAAGGCTACCAAGTGTCGGCCTACGGTGTGCTC